GCAAGTAAGAATAATGAATGGGTGAAGAACGCACGTAAGGCATTTTCACTGGGTGTTATCCTAAAACTTAACGTTCCTGCAATGTGTTCCACTTAAATGGAAGACATTTGCATATAGATCATTTGTGTTCCATTATATATTGAGAATTAAATCAATTGCTACAATAATGGAAACTGAGAGTACTTGATTTAGTTGCACCTTTGATGTGAGAGCTAGCAGAAGAGAGGTTTTTGCTATTTATTTTTTACTACCAAAATAAGGGTCAATATGATGTAGGGAGGAGAGTGAGTCTCTCTTTATTGCCAGGACCCACATGGGGACCCTCTCAGCGGAGTCTGCCCCCAAATTTTGCCAGTATCATTGTTCTTTCCCCATTGGAGTGAATGGAAGCCATGTGGGAGAAAGTTGAGGGGTGTTTGCAGACATAGATGTTATTGGAGCCCAGGGCTCAACTTGCTCCTGACAGATCGCGGGGAGAAGATGATGTTCCCCTTTTTGCAACAAAGCTGTCAATCATCAGTCTTGTTTCCTATGTCCTATGAGAGCTATTTCCACCCGGACAATGCTTCCGACTGCAGTATGTCTGGGACGTATGCCAATCCTAGAGTGTAGCTAACATAGTGTGATAGCCAATGAAATGTTATTTTTATTTATGTAGATTTTAGCATGATCCTGTTCATTTCTAAATCTGCAAACCAGATTGTTTTCCTAATTCAGAAGTATTAATGCTGGTTGCTGGGGGTGATGAGCTTTAGTTCAAAACAGCTAGAGGACAGCAGGTTAACCTTTCTATTACAAAGTCTCCAAGACAACAATTTTTAAATACCTTTATGTGCAAATTGTCTGCCTTAAAGGCTGCCTTAATTTTTAGCACCAGTTAAATTGACAGCTGCCCAGGAGGTGGGATGTAGCATCTTACCTACCATGGAAGGGAACAGGTGTGAATTAAAATCGGTTTGTCCACATTTGGGACCCAGTGTAAGTTGAGCAAGCCCAGTGAATTATTCCCTCCCTTGAAAGCCGCTGGAATCCTTTCTCTGTCTATCACTCTTAAACAGAAAAGTTGACTATATTACTAGTGGGCAGTGTAGATTTGGTGTGTGTATGTGTGGTGTTGTTGTTGTTGTTGTTTAGTCGTTTAGTCATGTCCGATTCTTCGTGACCCCATGGACCAGAGCATGCCAGGCACTTCTGTCTTCCACTGCCTCCCGCAGTTTGGTGAAACTCATGTTCGTAGCTTCAAGAACACACACACATAATATGTATATAACCTTAATAACTTGTCCTTGAGCTTGCTTCGCCTTCCTTCCTCTATCACTCCCGTTCCTTTTTCCTTGTGTGTCATGTCCTTGTAAATTGTGAGTAGGGATCATCTTAATACTGGTTTTCATATACTGCTGTAAGAACCTTTTTGACTAAACAGTGGGCTATAAATAAATAATGCACATATATGAGCTATATATAGGGATTACACACATACACATCCGACTGTTAATCTTCAAAGCAATCAAAGAGCACTGCAAAACAGCATTTAAAAGAAGTAGGCTCTCGATCCCAGGATACTGTCAGACACGTAACATATTACAAATAGGTGAATGACGGGACAGAGGAAGATCTGGCAATGCTTAGCTTCTGCCTTGCTCAGTGACGCAGCTAGGATTTCAAATGTGCATAATACTTGCTGTTGTTTTTTCATTCTACATTCCTCTTGCAATAACCACAACCTATAAATTCCACAGTGGGGAACTCTTCTTGTATCCACAGCAGGCAGGCTGAACTCAAATGCCTAATTTATCTGTGCCATCTGTACTTGATTGGCACAACCGCTAAAGTGAATTAACGTTACCCGAGAAACCCTGTTCCGGATTCTGTATGTTTTGCTGTCAGATGACGCCCCTAATAACGTGTGTCTATTTGAACAAATTAAATATGATTATTAATCTGTAGCACAAGGAAATATTTAGAAAACTGCTTTTACTTCCAGCATATTTCTGAATCAGATGAAGAGTGTAGCAAGGATAGGTGAGCTCTCTGAGATGAGATTCATCTCAGATTCATTAACTGTCTGATTTTTCTCCCCAACTGCAGTTGCAGAAAATCAGATTATTCTTCTAGATTCACATGAAGTTCTTGGGGAAAATTTGTCACTCCCTATCTGCCTCCAGCAGCTCTTCTCCCCAACTCCGTAATGCACATAGCCCCTTCCCCCCAACTGGTACAGAATACAGAAGCCAGTCTGTTCACCAGAGCAGTTTACAGGGATCATGTTACTCCTTTGCCGAGAAAGCTACATTGGACCCACATTGGACCAATTTTGAGGGTCTTCCACACCCCTGATATTTTGTTGGCATTTAACAGGAACCAGATCTTTACTGTGGTAGGCTCTGCCCTGTGGAACTCCTTGCCAATAGACGTCTGGCAGAAGTCTCCCTTGTTTGCTTTTTTAAAAGTGAGAACTGGATCCTGCAACTGGGATCCTGCTATTAATATCAGGCAGAGCCACTCCATAGCATCAAAGAATTGTAGACTTGGAAAGGGACCCTGAGAGGGTCCAACCGCCTGCAATGCAGGAATAAAGTCACTTCCTTTTGCCTTGCCAGCTTTAAGGGCCAGTGTGGCATAATCATAATCCCTTCTTTATGTACAAAGGACTTGAGTTCCACGTTCAAACAATCTGTAAAGGTAGAAGGTAAAGGGACCCCTGACCATTAGGTCCAGTCGTGACCGACTCTGGGGTTGCAGCACTCATCTCGCTTTATTGGCCGAGGGAGCCGGTGTACAGCTTCCAGGTCATGTGGCCAGCATGACTAAGCCGCTCCTGCAAACCAGAGCAGCGCATGGAAGCGCCGTTTACCTTCCCGCAGGAGCGGTACCTATTTATCTACTTGCACTTTGACGTGCTTTCAAACTGCTCTTAAATGTAGGTTACTAAGTTCCTGGCCACGAGGTGTTCGAATTGAGCTCCAGTATCCTTGGCACTATGAGACCATAAAATTTCCTGTGTATGGTCAGCTGTCCAAGGAAGGAGAGGAATGCAGAATTTTATGTAGCAGCCACACAGCTAACAATGGTTGGATGAACTGATTCTAGGGCCAGGGATGGGCGAGGCTTCAGGTAAGGGGAAGTTTCCCCAAACCCCAGTGGACCACTAGCCATCTAGAAATGCACAATACACGCTGATAAAGGTGGAGTGAGATACAGTGGTGCCTCGCAAGACAAAAAGAATCCGTTCCGCGATTCTCTTCGTCTAGCGGTTTTTTCGTCTTGCGAAGCAACCCCATTAGCGGCTAAGCGGATTAGTGCTATTAGCGGCTTAGCGGCTTAGCAGCTATTAAAAGCTTAGCGGCTGAGCTGCTAAAAGGCTATTAGCGGCTTAGCGGCTTAGAAAAAGGGGGGGGGGAGCGGGGAAAAAAATGGCGAGACTCGCAAGACATTTTCGTCTTGCGAAGCAAGCCCATAGGAAATTCGTCTTGCGAAGCGCCTCCAAAACGGAAAACCCTTTCGTCTAGCGGGTTTTCCGTCTTGCGAGGCATTCGTCTTGCGGGGCACACTGTACATACCAGTGGACTCGGGTCACAAAGCCAATTGCTTACTGCTGCACCACCACCACGAGCCTCTATATATGCAAGTGCAAATCTACATCTACTATGGATTAGAGATTCAACACTAAAACTCTTAAAAACGAGATTTGTAAAACTGTACAGAGACATGAATCAAAGGCAAGCAACCATATTTTACAGGAAGTAAGCAATGAGTCTCAGAGAAAAGTGAAAAGTTCAAGGTCAGCCAAGGCACAGAATGTCCCTTCCCTTAACTTGCAGTTTGAAAACTTACTGCAAATCAGCTAGAAATCTACCAGTGTGTGCCAATCTACCTTCCTGCTGTCCCTGCCCTGGACATTCATTAGTGGGTTGCAGTTTGCAAGAAACTTGCACCCTTTGCTCCGCGTGGGGCCGGGACATATTGGCTGCGTCTCCAGTGTTAAAAACAGTAGAAAAAAGGAAGGAGAGGTTATTTTTAAGAAGGAAGATGAGAGAAAACAGAATGCACAGTGCTGGGATACTGCTCATTCTGCACATTCATTATCTTCTTTTTTCAATGCTGTCAAGAATTAAGAACAAAGCCTCCAATATGGTCAGCACCAAAATAACTTTTTAATAACGCAACAAAGCACCAAGTCTTTTTTAAATTTTGGGCTTGAAGCGCTAGTGGTAACCACAAGTAAAAACAAACGTGATGCAAGCTCAGAGATATTTTCTCAAAACCATGATTAAAACTGGCCTCCACACAAGTTATATATCTGTTTTTCCTTTGGAGATTTGGCAGCAATTCATCCCCTTCAGCTGCAAATCAAAACTGGAACAACAGTCTGGAAGTTTGTGGCTTAAAACATGTGCTTGTTATTTGAGGATATCGGGGGTTTAACTCATTCTACCTTGGTTATCACCAATGATATGAATGAAGCGAAGACTTCATGGTTGTAAAAGAGTGGTCCTGTACAAAAACGTTATGCCTTTTGAGTAAAGAGATCACTATCCTAATCTGATAAATATGGTCAGTATAAGCTTCTGACTAGCCACTATCCTGATTGCCCATGACAGGGAAGAATTGTTTCTGGATAATGAAACATATCTCTCTTTTTTTCTTTTTACAAATCCCATAAACATCTAAAACATGGGCAGGTGGGCAAGTTACTTTGGGAAGCTTAGTTGTATTGGGAGAAGGAGCAGTATTCTGCGAGAGAGTATATGCAGCAGTAGTTTACAACTACGGCTGTTGCCATTGGGAGACAATTTGTCTCCATGCTCAGCGATTCTTTGCAGTTCCTCACCTCTTCTACCCTGTTCTCTCAACAATATGCAAACCCTCCTCCGTATCCGCTGTGCCCATCACAATGGTTAGCAGGTTTCTGTTACTTTTATATGAAGGCCTAAATGTAGCTGAATATTTGTGTTGACTTCAGAGTTTGTGTCTTAACTTCATGCTTCAATGCCTTGTAGGGATAGGAGGGTTGCAAGAATTCGTACTGAAGTCGGCAACGCTCTCATCGTCGCCAGCTTGCCCACCGTTTAACCCCCTCAACTTCGAAGCAACACCTATTGTGCGAGTTGCTGTGGAGCCAAAACACCCAAGTAAGTGTCTTCCCTCCGTTCCTTGAGTATCCAATCAGAATCATTAAGTATACATTTGAAAAGCCACAAGTGTGGGAAGGAGTGGTTGTAAATGTGTTTGAGCAAATGGTAGTATGGTGATTGCCTCGCAATAAGGCATGGTTTTCCAAACTTGGGTCTCCAGCTATTGTTGGACTACAACTCCCATTATCCCTATCAATCAGGGCCAGTAGTCAGGGATGATGGGAATTGTAGTCCAAAATCAGCTGGAGACCCAAGTTTGGGAAACTTAATACGGAAATGTTAAGTTAGAACCACTCATACTCATACTAGGATGGATGTCAGCATGTTACAAGAAACATGGGGCAATGACAGCCGGTGTGGTGTAGTGGTTAAGAGCGGTAGTCTCATAATCTGGGGAACCGGGTTCGCGTCTCCGCTCCTCCACATGCAGCTGCTGGGTGACCTTGGGCCAGTCACACTTCTCTGAAGTCTCTCAGCCCCACTCACCTTACAGAGTGTTTGTTGTGGGGGAGGAAGGGAAAGGAGAATGTTAGCCGCTTTGAGACTCCTTAAAGGGAGTGAAAGGCGGGATATCAAATCCAAACTCCTCCTCTTCTTCTTTTTGTTCTTGGTCTGTAATGTGTACAACAGGAATGGGGAACATGTTGGACTACAACTCCCATCAGCCCTCACTGTGGGCCATACTGGTTGGTGCTGATGGGAGTTGGAGTCCAGTGACATCTGGAAGACCACAAATTCCCCTTCCCTGGTACATAAGTTATATTGCATGGTAGATTTCTTGAGCTCTGCATTTGCTTGCTCCCACTTTATGTCACTGTTAGGGCAAGGAAACAGTAATTGCATCAGGACATGAAACACATTCTGGAAGGAGAAGAATGGATTTGATATGGGGCTGTTGTTTTGAGTGGCAAACCTGTGTCTCTTAGAACATACAGATCCACCCACAGTCTTTTTTTTTTTTTTAATCCCTCTTAAGATTTGTAGTGCTGTTATAATATGTAATATGTAAAATCTAAAATCTAAACAAAACTTCATATTCTTTGTACTCAGTATTTCACACCAGCTTGTTCTCCCTTTCTTACTGAGCTTTGCTCGTATGTTACTTTGAAACCCAAGCGCTTCGGAGGTACTTCATTTAAAAGTGCTTTTGTCTTCCCAGGTGAGATGCCGCAGTTGGTTAAAGGCATGAAGCTTTTAAACCAAGCTGATCCTTGTGTACAAGTTTTAATCCAGGAGACAGGGGAGCACGTGTTAATTACAGCAGGAGAAGTCCATCTTCAGCGCTGTTTGGATGACTTGAAAGAGAGGTTGGTGGCAGGGAGAGGTGGTGCGAGAGGAAAAGGAAGAATTGCTCAAGGCTCAGTGATTAAATCCAGCATTTACAAGACAGTTAAACGTGTAATTGTGGTTTAACTTACGGAAAGGTCAAAGCATCCTTTCCCAATTCTTCCTCACTGTTGCCGGTGCACAGTTAAAGATTTTTCATACTGGCATTCCTAGTAGATTTCTATCCATCAGTCAATCATTTTATTTGTATACCGCCTTTCCAAAGTTAAAGCCATGTTCAAGGACATATAAAAATTACATAGCTGCAAAACATAACAAAAGTCGTCATAAACAATGAACAAAACATCAAAAAGTACCCACATAAATTGAACAATTTCCACATAAATCATAAGATCCATAAGGAATTGGGAGTTAGGTTGTCCCTGCATATTAACTGTAAACTGCTTTTGTATGTTTTCCCAAATCATTTGTTTGCAACCATTGCCCATCTAGAAATCCTCTTTGTAGAAAAGCCCATTTTTATCACTCAGAATGTCTGGTGGACACAGTTGTAGTGCTTTCACACTGTGTGCAACAGTAGATTGCTCTGCAACAGCTGTGTTTGTTCTCATCTTTTTTACAGCAGACTTTTTTGTATAAATAGGCACGACTTGATGTGTTCAGCTCAAGTGACAGAAATCAGGAGCCTGATCCTTGAATGGGTCTCTAGTCTAACTCATTGAGTTGTGGACTGAGTTTTCATTCCATCCTCATACCACTTTAATTCATCGGATGGGTTTCAAACAGCAGAAATTCCATGTTCTGGAATATGAACCTAAGTGCCTCACACGTCTCCTGTCTGAAGAAAATGCTGGTGCCCATTGCCCTTCTCAGATAATATTTCAGGACTTAACTTCCCACTCCACACTAACTCACTGGGTTGCAGCTCAGAGGATGACATCAAATCATCAAATCAAAATGTTTATTCGGCTTTACGCCCATCATAAAGCACAACACACAAAACAAATCAAATAAAACAGCGGTCTCGTACAAGCCACAAGTAATATAACACAATTCACAGCTCGCAAGGACAATATTGGCAAATCAAAACAAAAAAATTTAAGATTAAAGTTAAAAATTTAGGCACTACGCTAAAATCAGTGTCTGGTGTCAGTATCAAAAATTCTTATAACTATCAATAATCAGCTAACATTCCATTCCGTCTCTTGTACGAGAGGACGGCTGTTAGGAATTTAGCAACCTGTAGAGTAATATAAGGATCTACATCTTGAAGAACCCAGGCAAGCTGTAGGTCTACTGGTTTGTCAGCCATGGGTTGGATTATGGAGTTTAGTATACTAGCACGAGCTGAACTGTACATAGGGCAGATAAACATAACATGATGTAAAGATTCAGATGTTTTCATTTCACAAGCACACATTGAAGGGACTTGGCCCTTAGTGAATCTATGTCTCAGCACGTTTGTTGGAAAAACATTGAACCTGGCTCTAATGAAGGCATATCGGTGAGATGCGGCTATAAGCGATGTTAAGTAGGACGGAGCACGATAGATAGGGGTTATGCCGAGATTTAACGGCGAGCAGGCTCCACCACCAGCTAAGAAATTTTGGTATAGCTCCACATCATCCAGCCTTTGATTTATACACCTTTTTGCCGCGTTTAGATCCAGTTTGAGCAATTCCGTGGGCGAGATCTCATAGGACAGCAATTTGGCATGGATTTTTCCTGACCACAAATTTGTGAAGTCATCCCGCCACATGCTTTGAATGAGATAGTGGTTCGGGAGTTTATGCCATAGGGATATCCAATAAATCAAAACTCTCCTCCATAAAACTAACTCCACTGAGGGGATCTTCATTTCTAAGCGAATAGCCGCATTACTTACGCATGTTGGTAGTTTTAAAAGTCGGCGTAAGAATTGGCTTTGAAGCGACTCTAAAGGTGAGAGGTTTGCAAAGGCAGCCCATAAAGGTGCAGCATAGGCCATTGTGGCCATCACTTTGATGCTATACACTTTCAAGGCCGCAGGGATGAATAAGGCCCCCTCAGAGTAGAAAAAACGGAGGAGGGAGTGTGATAGGGCTTTTGTCTTGTTTTGAAGATATTCAACGTGCGCTTTCCACCCTAAATTATATTGAAAATAAATTCCTAAATATTTAAATTTATGTACTTGTTCGATTTTCGTGCCCTCCAATTTCCATGAGTATAATTTTCGACTCCTTGAAAATATCAGTACTTTGGACTTGGTGTGGTTGATAGACAGATGATTAGAATGGCAATATGACACAAAAATCTTTAGTGCCCTCCTTAAACCCACTCTGGAGTAGGAGAGTAGTACCGCATCATCTGCATAGAGAAGTAAAGGACAACGATAATCTGCTATACGGGGGGTGTGGATAAATTTTTGTGAGTCGATTAATGGGTTCCTCATATCACTGATAAATAAGTTAAAAAGAAGAGGTGCTAAAATACAACCCTGGCGTACACCCTTATTTACTGGCACTGGGTTAGTTAGGTCTCCAGCAGGGGATATTCTTACCCTGGCCACGGACCCGGCATGAAGTTGGGAGATAAGCCACAGGAGCCTTCTGTCTATTCCCCAGCAGGCAAGTTTATCCCATAGTAATTGCCTCGGAATACTATCAAACGCAGCTTTCAAATCTATGAAGGCTGCGCAAAGTTGGCCCCGTCGAGGTGTCGAGTATTTCCGGGCTAAGTGATAAAGAATAATTGCCTGGTCTGTTGTGGATCGGTTTGATCTAAATCCAGCTTGCTCATGCCCAATCAGGTCAGCCTCAACTGACCATTTCATCAACCTTGCCAGCAAAAAACGGGCATATATTTTCCCAATGGACGATAGCAGGCTGATATTCCGGTAATTCCCTGGGTCACCGGGAGGGCCTTTTTTGTAGATAGGAATTATAATGGCCTCCTTCCACGTTCCTGGTATTAAGCCCGTGGCATTTATTGCGTCAAACGTTTTAGCTAAAATCCCTGCCCACCATGTAGAATGTAACTTTATAGCCTCAACAGGGACCAAATCTGGCCCAGGGGCCTTACCAGTTTTCAGCTCAGCTATCAATTCTAGGATTTCAGCAGGGTCGGTATTGGGCCAGACGGGAAGGGGATTAGAAGGTCTCCAGTGAGTGGCCGGAGCTTCTGCCACTGAAAAATATTTTCTCAGGAACTGCTCCCATGTAGGGGCCGGGATCACCGTTAAGGGGTATTTCGTGTTTCTTCCCTTTATTAAGGACCAAAATTTCCGGGAGTTCTGAGATTTTGAGGCAGAAATTATAGTCTGCCAGCGATTTAAATGCCATTCCCGTTTGGCCGATTTCTGGGCCTGTTTGTATGCTTTTTTAGCTAGGGAATAAGATGGAGGTAAGGCCAGAGCGCCGGAAAGTTTATAGTCATTATATATTGTATGTAGATGGAGTCTGGCTAGTTTACAAGCAGAGTTGAACCAAGGGGCGCCAAATTTAAAATAATCGTTTTTAACTCCATAGCTTGGAGAAGTAAAAAGCGAGTTAAAACTTCTATCAGGGAAGAGAAAAAATTCATACAGGTAATAGGATCACACGGGACTATTCCTATGTCCGGCTGATCACCAGGAAACTTTGCTCGGATAAAATCCGTATATCTATGGGCGAGGGCAGGGGACCATCTAATCCCCTTTATTTTAGTGGACGGCTCCACAATCACCGGGATTGGGTGAGAGCGCTCGAGCAGGTGCCAGTCAACACATAACTTGGTTGTCAGGGGAAGATGGTCACTAAATTGGGCATTATCAATTTTAAAAGAGGTGACATTCAAAAATAGATCCCGGGAAACCAATACATAGTCAAGAACACTGTTTGAATTTAACCCCAGGTGGGTGAACTCTCCTGGTATATCTGGAGGACACCTGCCATTTAATATAATTAAATTAAGGCGTAAAGCCATCTGATAAAGCATCACTCCCGCCTTATTGACTTTTACATCCTTTGATATTCTAGTGGGGATATATATTAGATCGTAGGTTTGAGCGCCGGGGTCGACCCACCATTTAGACTTTATAAGAGCCTCCCGATTAGAGGCTATCCGAGCGTTAAAATCGCCTCCGGTAATGGAGGGGACATTAGGATATTTAAGATAACAAGAAAGTAAAAAATCCTCTAGGGATTCCCATCTAGAAGTAAGATCAGCTGCTAACCCTCCCGGGGGGAAATAGACATTTGTAACCAATAAAGAGAAGTTTCCACCAGAGATCAGTCCGGTAATAGCATAAGGCGGAAATGCGTGCACTAGTGAAAGTTTAGCCCGAAGTTTAAGGGAGATACCAATTGTAAGGCCACCTTTAGGGCGGCCACCATTCAATGACGGGCTAGCAGGCAGACATATAAACTCAAAGCCATTTAACTCAATTTCCTCCTCCACCCAAGTTTCTTGTAATAGTATGATAAGAAAGGAATTAATATATTTTTGGAATTCTGGATCTGATTTTTTACTTTTCCAGCCAGCAATGTTCCAACTTAATATTGAAGGCTGGGGTTTCCTCGTTCCTCCAATTGACTGTCATTCGGAAGGTTGGCTCAACTTTAATACAGGAAGAGGGGAGCCAATAAAGAAATCAGTTATCTTCCTCTGATGAAAAACCTCTCGTAAAGGCTGAGTGGGAGGATTTACAAGGTTGTCTGACTGTTGAACTTGGCCACTCAATCTACTAGGAGAAGGACCTTGAGCAGGGGCGGCCCCCTTTTCCAAAAGAGTTTGGAGGGCCACCCGGTGTGGTCCATCTATCTTGTCAGAATTTTGGTCTCTCTGTAGCCTGCTACTGGTCTTTTGGGCTACTTGATTTATGTGGCCTGTTGGATCTTCAATCAGTTCCGTCACTGGTCTTGCTGTTGAATCCATAATACTCCGCAAAGAGGAATAAGGCTGGGCGAGTGGGCTATTTGGGAAGGTTGGCAAAGGCACCTCTTCTCTTGATTGGTCAGTGCTATAAGAAGGTTCCAGGTCTGGCATCGATGAATGTGTAGAAGGGGATTTTTCCTGTTGTGTGCTGCTTTCTTCAGGTATGTTTATCAAGGGACGGTCATGTAAATCTATTAAGAGCACGGAGGGTTGTTCTGGTTGGAGGGAAGGACTGGTAGTTGCTTCTTGGGGTTGTATCTTATCCTCCATTACCGACATACATTTAGCATTAGATATTGTGATATCCATATGAACTGGTTCTTCTAGGATGTCATGCTCGCTGTACAAAGGTATTCTGGTGCTGAGCTTCCTGATAAGTTGGGTTTTAAGCGATTCGAGCCTATTAATAATTTCTTTTTGTTCCACCGCTGGTAAATCTGCAAAGGAGGCAATGAGTTCGATCTCTTCTGGTGGTGTCAGGCCACTTTCCGGATGGTCATTGTTCTTTGCTACGGGAGTGGAGGCCACATGACTCATCTCCTGGGGGAGAACACCCACTCCGGTGTCCACTGGTGGATCGGGTTTAGCAGATTTTAAGCCCTCTTTGGTTATTGCCTCCAACAGTAGGGGTTTAGGTGAAGGGTCTATAAAGGCTCTCGTTGGTGCTATCCCACAGCGAAACAAAAATGCTTTCCTTCGTAATATGATAGTGGGAATTTTTGTGGATTGGAACGCAAGCAGGACTCTCTGTGATTTATGATGATAGACAAGGGGGAGGACTGCACAGAGGTCAATTTGTGTTGCCTCCATATTTAAAAGCACCATTAGGAGTTCCTTGGCACCGCCCAGAGTTCTCCATCTTGGGTCCCCATTTTGTATAGTTAGGCACACTTTCCTTGGTGTTAAAATCAAGGATTGATGACCTAAATGAAGGTTAAGGTTGTATTTAAATTTGTCAGTACGTTTGTTATTTAAGGACAAACTCCTCGTCCCCTTCCTCTCTTCAAGAGACTTGACACCGGCTGACACTGGAGAAGTAGTAACTAGCTTTTGTTGGAGGCTGTGCAGCTGGGACGAAAGATCATCTAGTCTTTTGAATATACAGTGCAAGGTTTTGATTATTAAATGGGACTGTTCAAATGTCATATGATTGGCTGTGCCAAGGACCAGTTCCTCCTTCTGAGGAGAGACGACACTCTTACTGTTGCCCACATTGCTTGTTATTTGAGGTATTATTCGCTCTTCATCTTTAAGTGCTGACACGCAATCAATCAGAGGGTTAAAACGGTTCTGAGTTTCTACCGTGTAGGAACAATCCAGTAGATTACTCCCTTCCTTAAAGTGACATGGTTCCACCCTTGTTTGCTTTGATCTCGGAAAGGGAATGGGGACTGTCTCCTCCGAATCTCTAAGACGTTTCCCATATCCCATAATTCAGATATCGAGTAGAGGGGGATAGTATTTTAATGTCAACTAAATATTTCCTTCAAGCCTGCCAGCACTTGCAGTGGGAGTGTATTTCACTGCCTGTTCATATGAAAGTCAGCGTCTTCGCCTTCACCCTCACAGTCCGGCAATTTAGTTCGACAAGGAGACTACCGGTAAGCAACACAGACCATTCCTTTGAAGTCCTACTCCCACCAGGACTAAGACTAATATAAAAAAAAATTCTCCTTCGGAGCTTATCGCAGGGCCCACCGCGGGTCGGTCTCAGATAAAAGGGAAACTCCCGAAGGCCTCACCAGTAGTGTTGGTTTGACTTTCTTCCTCTGTTTGGCCAGCACTCTGTTCGGAGGGAGATAGTGGCTTCCCTCGACCTGCTCTGCTCCGCCGTACACCAGTAAAACAATAAAACAATAAAAACAATAAAACAATAAACTAAAAGCAAAGGGAAGCGAGGAGGTGATAAAACAGCTGATAAGACGTTAAAACTGGGAGTTTAAAACCAGGAAGTGGCTAAAAACTACTTTAAAAACTACTTAAAAGCTTAACTAAAAGCAGAGGAGTCTGACTAGGCTGCTGTGTCCGTCGCCATCTTGGCTCCTCCCCCCAGAGGATGGAAGTCCTGCTGTTGCTGCAACTGTAAGAGGCAGTTGAGATAGTAATCAAGATAGGAATTTGCTGTATACTAAGTCAGACCATTGGTCCATCTAGCTCGGTATTGTCTACACCAGCGTTTCCCAAACTTGGATCTCCAGCTGTTTTTGGACTATCATTCCCATCATCCCTGACCACTGGTCCTACTAGCTTGGGATGATGGGAGTTGTAGTCTAGAAACAGCTGGGAACCCAAATTTGAAAAACCCTGGTCTACATTGGCTGGCAAGCACCTCAAGCAAGGTTCTCTCCCAGCCATATCTGGAGATGCCAGGGCTTGAACCTGGTACCCTATGCATGCAAAACAGCTGCCCTGCCACTGAAGTATAGTCCTTCCTAATATCCTCATCAGGAATGTACCAGGATCCAAAACAGGCTCATAACTGTACTCTGATATAACGGGTTGCAGTGGAGGGGGGGGGCGGATGCCTGTTGCTTTAAGTATGCTAGAATGAATGCTGCCTCCCTCCCTGGCTCCCATTATTGAGTAATTGCTTAATGTCTTAGGAGGCAGCGGGCTGCAATGGTTAATCATAATGTGAAGTTGGCATCATGTGATTACTGGCATTAACCCGCCATTGAAACCCTTGAAGACTTAAGTTTCATTTGCTGTGAGGCCTAACTGTAGCCTTTTGGCTTTCTGTAGGTTTGCCAAGATAGAAATTAGCGTATCGAAACCAATTATTCCATTCCGGGAAACCATAACAAGACCCCCCAAACTTGACATGGTGAACGAAGAAATAGGGAAGCAGCAGAAAGTTGCCATCATACACCAGAGTAAGGAAGAGCAGAACAAAATCCCTGAAGGTGTGCAGGTTGATTCAGATGGGCTGATAACGATATCGACGCCAAACAAATACGCCACGCTCAGCATCAGAGCAACGCCTCTTCCTGAGGAGGTAACTCAACTACTGGAGAAGAACAGCGGCTTAATTCGGACCATAGAACAATTCTCCTCTTACCTAAATGAAGGTAAGAAAACAGAAGAGATGAATCCGAAGACCTTTGAGCAGATACAGGAGTTCAAAAAAAGACTAGAGGAAAACCTACCAGGAAGAAAATGGAGAAATGCCGTTGATGGGATCTGGTCCTTTGGCCCCCGAAAATGTGGGCCTAACATTTTACTGAACAGATGTGAAGGCTACAAGAGGTCTGTGTGGCAATGCCTGGAAGCAAGCAAGCCACCCAAGGAAGCGAGCGTGTATCGGGATTTTGACAACAGTCTTGTCAGCGGGTTCCAGTTGGCCACGCTCTCAGGACCAATGTGTGAAGAACCACTTATGGGTGTCTGTTTTTCGGTGGAGAAATGGGACATGGGCAGATTTGAAATGTCACTTAACCGGCAGGATTCGGATGAAAGGAAGTCTACAGAGGAGACATCGGCAGGGGAGGAAACTGCCCTTGTGTCGAGGACTGGAGACACTGAATCGGCTTCTGAAACTGAGCTGCGAGATGGTGACCAGTGTAGCCTCAAATCATCCAGTAAGCCCAAAGGAGAGGCTTTGCCTGCAGACTGTTATGGCCCTTTCTCTGGACAACTGATTGCAACCATGAAGGAAGCATGCCGTTATGCTATGCAAGCAAAGCCACAGAGGCTTATGGCTGCCATGTACACCTGTGAGATTATGACCACGGCTGAGGTCCTAGGTAAGCAACATGCATAATAATAATAATAATAATAATAATAATAATAATAATAATAACATGCATAATAATAATAATAATAATAATAATAATAATAATAATTAATTAATTAATTTTAATTTATATCCCGCCCTCCCCAGCTGAAGCCGGGCTCAGAGCGGCTAACAACAGTAAAATATACAACATTCTAAAATCGTATCATTATAAAATCAGCTCAAATCAGATTAATGGCAACCATTGGGCCAGAGTTCTGCGAGGATTGCCAAAGGAGGGGGTCAGGCTGTGCCCTGGCCAAAGGCCTGGTGGAACAGCTCTGTCTTGCAGGCCCTGCGGAAAGATGTCAAGTCCCGCAGAGCCCTAGTCTCTTGTGACAGAGCGTTCCACCAGATTGGAGCCACAGCCACAAAAGCCCTGGCTCTGGTTGAGGCCAGCCTAACCTCTCTGTGGCCTGGGACCTCCAAGATGTTTTTGTTTGAAGACCATAAGGTCCTCCGTGGGACATCCCAGGAGAGGCGGTCCCGTAAGTACGAGGGTCCTAGGCAGTATAGGGCTTTAAAGGTTAAAACCAGCACCTTGAATCTGATCCTGTACCCCACCGGGAGCCAGTGCAGCTGGTATAGCACTGGGTGAATGTGATCCCGCAGCCAGGACCCCGTAAGGAGTCTCGCCGCGGCATTCTGCACTCGCTGGAGTTTCTGGGTCAGTCTCAAGGGCAGCCCCACGTAGAGTGAGTTACAAACAGACCACATGGTAGATGTTACATCCGTAGGGGGAAAGCATTGTCAGAAAGCTGACTGCGAATGACTTCCTTGGCCATGCCAGCTTTTGCCAACCTGATGCCCTCCAGATGTTTTTGGCTACAGTTCCCATCAGCCCCATCCAGCATGCAGGCTGGGGTTGATGGAAGTTGTGGTCCCAAACATTTGGAGGGCACCAGGTTGGCAAAGGCCGACCAAGAAAAATAATTATATTTCCTGTGACGCTCCAGGTATAGATGGAATTATCTGGTTGACTCAGCAGGTGGTTGTTGTTGATTAAATTTCTGAATTGCCCTTCATCCGAGATCACAGGGCGATTTACAATATAATGTAGTTGCAATATAGTTAAACTATGGAACTTGTTTCTGTAGGAGTTAGTGACGGCCACCAACTTGGATGGCTTTGAAAGAGAGCTGAACAAATTCACGGAGGATAATGGTGTCAATGGCAACTGGCCATGATGTCTATGCATTGCCTCCACAGTCAGTACTTCTGTATGCCAGTTGCTGGAAACCACAGGAGAAACTGCTAAAATAAGAGGACAAAATGACAATATTTTTATAGAAGAAGGTAGACCTATCGAATTATCATTCCTGTATGAAATCATGGGCAGGATTTGAGATATGAGCAACGGAGGAATGTAGAGAATGGATTTGTGGGGCTTAGAAAATAAATGTAGATGTGTTTTAATGCAGCTATTAAGGGGGGGGGAATCAGGGAAGGAGAGATGGGAAGTCAAGAAAAAAAGTGTAACGAAAAATTATATATGTATGATTGGAGTTATGTAATAATTTGAAAGATTCAATAAAAATAAACCACAGGAGAGGAGAGTTCTCTTGTGCTCTGCTCCTGTTTACAGATTTCCCACGAAAGAGGCTGCTAGACTAGATGGACCTCCTTTGGCCTGATCCAGCAGGCTCTTCTTATATTCTTAGGTTCTTTTTTCATCTTGGTATATTGAGTTTGTATTACATTTATTAAGTTACTTAAGCAACCCCTCTTCCTGGGGCTTAAGATCAACATCCTGTTGACTAAGGTTTGCACTTAGATGTTCTGTCTGTTTGCTCATTGCCCACTATTTTTCGGGGTAAAAAAGGTAAAGGGTCCCCTGACCATTAGGTCCAGTCATGGCTGACTCTGGGGTTGCAACGCTCATCTCGCTTTATTGGCCGAGGGAGCCAGCGTACAGCTTCTGGGTCATGTGGCCAGCATGACTATACCGATTCTGGTGAACCAGAGCAGCGCACGGAAACGCTGTTTACCTTCCTGCCAGAGCGGTACCTATTTATTTACTTGCACTTTGACGTGCTTTCAAACTGTTGGGTTGGCAGGAGCAGGGACAGAGCAACGGATCTCACCCTATCGTGGGGATTCGAACTGCCGACCTTCTGATCAGCAAGTCCTAGGCTCTGTGTTTTAACCCACAGCGCCACCTGCGCCCCATTTTTAGGGGTAAAGTACGCTAAGTACCTCATATGATAATTAACTCCATACTTTCCTGTTGGAGTGGGATCCCTGTTACTGATCATGCACGACCCCAGTTCTCCTGCTGAGATTTTGCAGCAGTTGTGTGGTCAGTAAAACTCACTCCAACCCTTGAGTGAAGTCCCTACAATCTCTTCTTAATATTCTGAGATCTGAAGTTTTTCACACCATCATTTAATCGTAGCTGGTTACTCTATATGACTGTTTCCCGAGACCCTCTCTTGCCCCGGGTGTTAATTAGTCCTCCCAGTTCAGTAATTGTGCATCTGAATTGATGAAAAGGATGCAACAAGCTCAGTAGGTCTTTTCCCTTTGCAGGTCGCGTTTACGCTGTCCTCTCCAAAAGAGTCGGCCGGGTGTTGCAGGAAGAGATGAAAGAAGGGACAGACGTGTTTATTATCAAAGCAGTGTTGCCAGTAGCAGAGAGCTTTGGCTTCGCTGATGAAATCAGGAAGAGAACAAGCGGCCTAGCCACTCCACAGCTGGTCTTCAGTCACTGGGAGGTAAAAATTCTATTCACTCCCATCTGCCTTGGTGTACAATTTCTTGTAGATGCAGAAAAAGAGATCAAGATAAAGGAGGGGAGAGGTTAAATGGTGGTCAAGACTTAAATTTGCTCCGTTCTTTCCTAAGCCAAGCCATACAAGCAGCTTTTTATCTGCCTTTACAGTGGTACCTCCAGTTGTGAACAGGATCCGTTCCGGAGCTCTGGTCGGATCCCGAGGAATTTGCAACCGGAGGTGCCACTTCTGCGCATATGTGCGGCGTGTAGAGCGCTTCTGCACATGCACACGTGGTGAAACCCGGAAAAATACTTCCAGGTTTGCTGCGTACGTATCCTGAAGGATACGTAACCGGAGGTGAACGTAAGTAGAGGTAAAAAGGTAAAGGTACCCCTGCCCGTACGGGCCAGTCTTGACAGACTCGGGGGTTGTGCGCCCATCTCACTCAAGAGGCCGGGGGCCAGCGCTGTCCGGAGACACTTCCGGGTCACGTGGCCAGCGTGACAAAGCTGCATCTGGCGAGCCAGCGCAGCACACGGAACACCGTTTACCTTCCCGCTGGTAAGCGGTCCCTATTTATCTACTTGCACCCGGGGGTGCTTTCGAACTGCTAGGTTTGCTAGGTTGGCAGGCGCTGGGACCGAGCAGCGGGAGCGCACCCCGCCGCGGGGATTCGAACCGCCGACCTTTCGATCGGCAAGCCCTAGGCACTGAGGCTTTTACCCACAGCGCCACCCGTGTCCCTAAGTAGAGGTACCACTATATATTTGCTTTTTCCAATGCACACTTCCCAATATTCTGTTCTGTTTCAATAGGTTTTGGGTTAGGGTGGTCCATCCTCTGCTGGATTGAATTTAAAGTCCATTAAGTCCAGCATTATGTATCCAGCAGCAGCCAGATGTTTCTGGGAAACTGGTGAGCAGGGCATGAAGGCAGCAGCTGTCTTCGTCTCCTACTCCTGGTTGCTCCTGCCACAAAAAAAAGAGTAGAAATAAGATACTAAGGAAGGACAATTTTAAAATAATTTTATTCATTCTCTATAAAGTGGCCCATGTTTGAGACATGTGTTTCTGCACACAAGAGAGACATATGTGGTGGAATACGATAGAGATATATTTGGTGTAAAGCACTCCTTCCCAAACTTTCCCCCCCATGGACCACTTGACAAATTGCTGAGGGTCTTGGCGGACCGTTTAATGATTGTTTTGCCTGTTGCAGCGGTTGTAATGCACAGCGCTAAGTAGATGCTGTATGGTTATTAATTGTGTTTCTATTGCTCCTTTTATTTCTTGCATCATATTTTATTATGTTGTAATGTGCATTTCATAGAATTCAAATTGTGCAACGGAATAAAATACAAGAAATAAAAGAAGCAATAAAACGATAGTTTAAAATCAACATGGATATTTAATGCAGACACAACCGCCAGAATGAAGCTTGCAGACCCGTGGTCCACAGTTTGGGAACTCCTAGCATAGAGGGAGACAGTAAATGGAGAAGCATCCATTTTTAGAAGGAGTATTCCACTGAATGCCCCAGTTTCTGGGGTGGGGAGCAACAATGGGGGCAGGCATTTATACCCTGTTTTGTGGGCTTCCCATAAGCTTCAGGCTGGCCATTGAAAGAGAGAGAGGATGCTAGATTAGATGGACTTTTGGTTTCACCCAACAGAGCTGTTTTTCTTTTATTTAGCCTGCTAACAAGGTAACCAGCACACAGGGAAAACAGTAGGGGGGTGTTTTTGTGCTTGTAGAAAAGATCCTTTCTTTAAAGTGTTCTTTCTGGAAGGTGAAATCTTTTGAAATGCTGAAATAGATACCATGGATCAAATATTATTTGGATCTTCAGAGGCTCTTTGCAGGTTGATAGCGGCAATAAAATAAGTGACCTGTACACTTAGTTTTCTGCCTCCTCTCCTTTCTTCTTCAACTGTGTTTTTCTCCAACCATGCAATTTACAATCAAGAGCTTTTGAGGAGAAGATTCTTTAAGGGAATAGAAAGAAGAGTAGAATTGCATCCCTTTTCTAAGAGCATTTTTCGTTTTAAAGTCTGAAATCTGCTCCCTGTTTTCAGAGACCTGCGAGAGGAAAATACAGACTTGAGTTCAAAACGCGCTGTGTAATTCTTCTAAGCTCTGGATGTGTTAACAGATCTGCCGCCTACCAAACAAACAAAACTGCTGCTTTATCCCCTTCCAAGTTGCTTGTGCAAGGAAGTAGCTTGTTTCTCTTGAATCCAGTTCTAAAATTCAGGCTCTTGTTGCTCTTGACATCATCAGGAGTCTTGAGTGCCACCACGTGACCCGCACCCGACCACCATCTTCCCTTTCCTCTTCCTTGTTGGGATATTGATATCTCAGTGTTAGACTTCACTACTTCCCACGCACCAGAGGAACCAGTGACGGGGAGCATTTACTATAGACATGATTGGCTTTGTAGACCTCATCCTAAACTGGCTGGGAAGCTTCTGAGATGTTGGGGAGCAACATTTCCTGATTTGTATGGGAGTTGTAGTTGTGTATGTCTCCCAAATAATTCATTGAAGTAATGCATTTTAGGGATGCAGGTGGCACTGTGGGTTAAACCACAGAGCCTAGGACTTGCCGATCAGAAGGTCGGCGGTTCGAATCCTCACGACGGGGTGAGCTCCTGTTGCTCGGTCCCTCCTCCTGCCCACCTAGCAGTTCGAAAGCACGTCAAAGTGCAAGTAGATAAATAGGTACCACTCCGGCAGGAAGGTAAACGGCGTTTCCGTGCGCTGCTCTGGTTTGCCAGAAGCGGCTTAGTCATGCTGGCCACATGACCTGGAAGCTGTACGCCGGCTCCCTCGGCCAATAAAGCGAGATGAGCACCGCAACCCCAGAGTCGGCCACGACTGGACCTAATGGTCAGGGGTCCCTTTACCTTTACCTAAGGATGCTTTATGCATCTCAGCTGGAAATGATGAGTCTTTAGCCCAGTTAAGGATGGCATCTACAGGTCCAGTTCAGCCAGCAAGGAGGGTTGGCTGGCAGTGGCAGCAAATGCGTTAGGAACCAGACCCTAATTTGGAGGGACCTGGGCTTGCAATGTTGACTTAAGATCCTCTTAATATCCTGCAGTAAATGAATGTATTTTAGCTATTTTAAATTCATGGTCTTCTCAGCCATCTCTTTTTGACAGCAGACATCTATCGAGGACGTTTTTGTTTCCAAAGTAAACGAATGAGAGGTACAATGCAGTTTGTTGTGGACGTACAGTACTTTTGACTAATCAGGTTTCACTGCAATGAACATTGGAAGCTAGTAAAAGGAATTTTAAGTGAAAAATGACACACAGTGCAAGGCTGCGAGATGACCATTTTTTCCTCCTGTGGTTCCAAGATCAACAGAAAAAAGCTCTCTGAGCATAAAAAAATTAAATCCACTTCAGCTCCATCTGCTCATTCTTGGAGCTTTCATTGAGTGGCTTCTACCAGTACAGTTAGACATTCAGGAATCCAGTTCTGATTCTATGCTATACAGATTCCGCTGACTTCTGATACCTTCATAGTATTTCGTAAAGTTGGTGTGTTAATGATCCTGGCTGTACCCTTGCTGATTTTATTTGTTATCTTTAGATGACTGCCATACTGCAGCACATCCTTGCCTGCAGCCCTTGCAGTATGCCAGAGTAATCATTTGACCATTAATGATCTCCAACTTAGCCTAACCCACCGCACAAGGCTATTGTAAGGCTTAAAAATGGGATAATTCTCACCTCCTTGTGAATGCGTGACTGATATGTGCGTAATCGTGTACACATGCACAGCGCTGAACCCAAAATTGACCGGGAAGCTTCATAAAACTTATCTCTTGGTCTCGTCTTACCTCTCAGGGTTGTTGTGAGAATAAACCAGGATTCCCTGTGAAACTGAAAATGCAAATGCAAATATATTCTTATACAGCTACACTTCTTACAGGCTGCTTTGTTGATTCCTCTGGGAAATCAGCACACGCCCACAGAAAAAAAGGGAGAAAATCAACAAAAGAAAAGAAGGAACTGAAAACTTTAAAAAGAAAAAAAAGAGGGATGGAATAGAGGAAGAGAGATATCAGCCAAATAACTGTACTTCAATAATTGTCAGTGACATACTGAGCAGAAATTATTTTTCATTCATTTTTAGGTGACAAGCTGTACCTTTTAAAGATTTGAGTACATCTTTCATAATTTCAAATATGTCTGCTTTTAGCCGACGGTCAAAAATCACTGTTCATTGCTGCCGCCCCCTTCCATTAATTCAGCTCTTTGCACAATTCCTCTCCCCCCCCCTAGGTAATTTCAGATGATCCATATTGGGTACCAACCACAGAGGAAGAGTATCTGCACTTTGGGGAGAAGGCAGACTCCGAGAACCAGGCCCGCAAGTACATGAATGCTGTAAGGAAGCGGAAGGGACTTTGTGTAGACGAGAAAATCGTGGAGCATGCTGAGAAGCAAAGGACTCTCAGCAGAAACAAATAGCTGCCTTCAATTCTGTTTCTCTGTTAAGTTCTCTCTGTACCGGAGATTCAAAAAAAGTCACCTTGGATGTACAATTCTGTGTGGGTTTTCTTACTGCGAGTTGTCTGTGGCTTGAGTTTTAATAAACCTAAGCCTTTCCAACTTCTTTTCTTGTGATTATACACTACAGCTTCCTTGTTATATTAGCGGCTTGCAAGCGTTCTACCTCCTGGGAACCGTTTTCACATCTCCTCATCTGCCAAGGGACACCTGCAGGGCTGAAACAGAATCCCTGCATACCTTGAGTCAAATAGGCATCAGCATTTGGTCTAATTTTAACCAGCTATAGATGGATCAATGTAGAACATTTTCATTTATTAGAATACTACTCCTGATTAATCAGCCAGCAATTTTTTGAATGAATGAATGATTCACTGTTTATTAATTGAAATAGTTTTGCGCCTCCTCCAGTGGCAAAACCTCCCTCGAGGCGGCTTGCAAAATGAAATGGAATAGAGCAAAACACACCTGACAAATAAAACCGGCAATAAACAATAAAACAATTGTCCCCTAAAATGATAAAAAGCAGTAAGAAGACAATGCCTAAAACCATCAATCCCACGAACCATACCTCAGTGAAAACAGATATGGGTCTTGAGAGCTCTGTGGGTTTTCACCGTGAGTACTTAACCATTTGCAGATTTTAATAAGTGCCACCTCAAAAGGTTTTCTGTCCTGTGTCGGAGTGGAAAATGGAAGGACTCTTCTAAGACGGTGTCTTCTGTGACACATGCCTGCATCACCAAGAACTGGGCATGGTTTTGCTTCTGAACTGTGGTTTCATCTCCTGTTCAAATTTATGTAGATTTAATCAGCTGAAGCTTGCTTCATAATATCAACTAATTTTGCACTTCTTTTTTGTGTCTTCCTGGAAGTAAATCCCACTGATTTAAATAGGGTTTCCTTGCTAGTAAGTGTACCTTACTAAGTGCAGCTTAAGATTTCTTTTAACTAGGCAACTGCCCTCTTATTTCATGTGCTTCAGTGTTACACTCTCTGAAGTGAAATATGCATCCACTGTCTTCAGTTGGAAACTTTCATTACTAATCTTTTTCAGTAATGAAAAAGCTTTTCAGTAGTTTTTCAGGCATGTCAGGATTCCAAAAAATCCCAAACCTTTCTTGTAAACAGTTGCTATACATAAATGAGTCATTATTACTCTCTCAATTAACACCTTGTGCTGTCATTGAAAAATTTAGGTCCTTGCAGCAACTTCTTTTCTGCAGATTTGATACACTTGTGATTTAGATCCTGATAAAACTGTTGAGGCTAAATTGAGCAAAATTATTAGTGCTCTGATAAAAGGGTCAGGACAATTAATACTCTGCTTTAGGAAGCTTCCATAGGACATCTTACATTACATGAACTGCCCTGAAATCTACAGGTATAAATACAAATTAAGTTGATGGACGTTTTTCTCACACTCTTATAATATACTGGGAACTCAGGGTTCACCGCAGTGAAATTGATGGGCAGCAGTAGATTCAGGAGAGAGATCACTTAAATAAATTAATCTGCCCTCTCTCTAATAAGCAACAAGAAAGAAAAGGAACACTTAGGAAAACAAGGGTAAGGCTTGTTGAACACCCATGCTAGAGATCCTCTTTTAGTTCCAGATTATTTATAAATGTGTTGGGGGAAAGTGTTTTCTTCCCCCCACCCCACTGTCTGAATACATTTAAATAGAAAGCATGAAGACTACTGTTAAATCATTCTCTTGTGTTGTTGTTGTTGATTTATAAAAGGACTGCATTCAGTGCAATTATTCTCTCCCTCCTGCCTCAGTTAATATTTATAATCCAAGTCCTGGGTGTAAGTAAAGGCATGTTCTTCCCATGCTCAACAATTGTCCTGTTTGGAAACCCATCAGCATTCCATGGATGAAAATAAAATAAAAGACATTGCTGCAGGTAAAGGACCCCTGGGTGGTTAAGTCCAGTCAAAGGCAACTACGGGGTTGTGGCGCTCATCTCACTTTCAGGCCGAGGGAGCTGGTGTTTGTCCACAGACAGCTTTCCGAGTCATGTGGCCAGCAGGACTAAACCGCTTCTGGCGCAATGGAACACCATGGCGGAAACCAGAGCGCGTGGAAATGCGCCGTTTACCTTCCGGCTGCAGTGGTACCTATTTATCTACTTGCACTGGCGTGCTTTCGAACTGCTAGGCTGGCAGGAGCTGAGACAGAGCAACGGGAGCTCACCCTGTCGTGGGGATTCGAACCGCCGACCTTCTGATCGGCAAGCCCATGAGGTTTGGGGATTTAAACCACAACTCCAGCCGCGTCCTGCAGGTATGTAAGGGAATGCAGCTTGGCAGTGTCATGAGAGTGCACATGCTTTGGTTCCAGTCTTGATTGGGGGCAGGGGTTGTGCAGCGCCTGGTGTTTTACAGCAGTGTGTGTGTGTGTGTGTGTGTGTGTGTGTGTGTAAAGAAAATACACATGATGCCAAACATGCTTAATACCACTTTAGAACAGCAGCTTATACTGAGATCCAATAGGACAGATGACTCTTCCTTTTTGTACTCTGTACACTTTTTGGTTGTAAGAGTAAATAAGACTTCCGTTTTAATTCAGGGCAGGTGGAGAAACTGATTCAGCTACCAGCAGCTTGGGAAATAGTTTGAGATCTCCAAAGGTTCTGAGAAACACCTGCAGACTGGAATTCTCCTGTGATTATTACCTCCTCCTGCCAATTATTCTCCCTTGCATCTTATTAAATGGCCTCACTTGCCCGTTTTCTTTCTCAATAGCATGCTTTTTCTTGCCTGGTTGGAATAGCCCAAAAAAATGTATTTAAAAGACTGAAAGAGAGAGAGGGGATACCCCAGCCTCCCATGTCTCTGCCAAGAAATGATGTCATCTGTCTCACCATTCCTTGCTAAATTGCTCCGTCTGCAGCCTCTCCTGTTTATGGAAATAAAATGGATTTTTAATGAAGGGAAGGACTGAGTCCAATATTTTAATTGGCTAGCAAACCCTGTGGGGATAGCATTTTGAATGCCTGATAACAGCAGTATTGCATGTGCAGGTTTTTCACGTGAAAATGGTGTTATTGCGGGAAATAACCTTCACATGTGGATTTGTTCTAATCGGTCCCTTGCTAATTGCTCGCTGGCATTTCCCAGTGCGGGAGAGCTTTGGCACGATTCTGGCTTAAGAAAAGATTCTTCTCCAGAGTGAAATGAGCCCAAATGTGTGCCTCTGCTCAAAATAACATTTCCAGAAATAAGCTCTGCACAAGAAGAAAAGTGTAGTAGCTACTTGAAGCCGGAGAATCTTGATTACATGATGCAATCCATTCTCCCAGGACATCAGACCTTAAGAGCAATCTTTTGCCTGATGTCTGCGTTGTCGTCCTTACATGATTTTTATTTTATTTTGTTTTAAATTGTATGTCACTTTGAGTTTACTGTCTGTAAAGAAGAAGAAGAAGACTCATAATTCCAATAAAGATATAAATATTTTAAGGCAAGGAACTTGGTGGCGGAGCCCATCATTTGCATGAAAAAAAGTCTGGCATCTCCAGTTAGGACTGGGAAACAGTGAGACCCTGGAAAGCTGTCCTCCAGCAGTTGGACTCCAAATCCCATCACCCCTGTTGTCAATGCTGATGGGAATTGTAGGGCAACAACCTCTGGAGGGCAACACATTGGCTATCCCTGGTGTAGGCAAATCCTAAGCTAGGCGGACCGGTGGTTTTGAGTTTGGCTTTTTTGCAAGTTAACAGGAAAGGTAAAAAAACGGAAATACATAATACAAAAAAACAGCATCAAGTCACACTAAGGATATAATCGTCATCAGTACATCTATCCATCCTTCAGATGTCCAAACATGTATTCCCACAAAATTGACATTTATAGGAAATATGTTGAAATGCAGCCTGGACAATGAGGTGCTCAGACGAACAGTGGGTGTTCATCCTTCCAATTCTTTTGGAGACCATAAGGGCTCACAAAATCCACTTTTGCTGCCTACATTTCATCCTTATACTACAGGAATATGATTTACAAGTACGTGAATATCTGCAAATATCTAGGATTTCACCAATACAAAACTGATACAACAACCATTTTAGACCGGAAGAATTTATCTCTGGACACTGGTTTCGAATCTGTGTAAATTATCTGCTTATGTTTCTAAGGGGAAGCATTTGGTGTTTCGCTACCAGGGCTCAGGGTCAGTTGTGCAGCATAAGGGATGGAGCACAACAGAGCTTCTATTTTCAACATAATGATCACATTTTATAAGAATCATTTCTGATTTTTCAAGATAGGAAATTACAGAAGAGATTCCACTTCCCTCCAAAAAAAAAATCCGCTATTTCTAACATTAACCAACAAGATTCTTTATGTGACTGCTAAACTAGTATCAAGCTGGTTTAGATTTGTTAGCATGAAGTGTATAGAAACTGTTAAAGGGAAATGCTCTCAATTTTCCAGTTACTAATCCAAGTCAAGTTTAATTTATTGCAGCCTATTTTTGCATCAAAAGATTAAGCTCAGAATGAAATACCGTCCTGTTCGTTCTGAACTTTCAAACTTAGCCGTGTTGCTTGTTTACAGAAGAGCGAAGAACCACAAGCAGGGATGCCATTGCTAAAAGAAAATTTTAAAAAGTAAATTAAATCAATCTGAAATGACTTCATTTTTCTGCACGAAGGATGTTTGTGAAAAGCGAGAGAATCTTTTTCTTCCAGCTGTAGGATAATGCTTAAATCTCCCTCTCAATGCTCAATGAGGAAGCTGGACTGACCTCAGCAGGAAAAAGGACGACAGTTGTAAGTCTTTAGGAAACACGCAACCATGCAGGTCTTCTGATTTCGCTTCCGAGGCTCCAAGAGCGTTGAGCCTCTTTGCAGACACTGATGGAAGCAAAGTGCTGGAGTGGAGAATCTAATCGTAGAAATATGTTTTATTAAACTCCAGAGATAGGTATCTTTGTATATTTTATCTCATTCTCTCTCTCATGTATAGAGAGATACAGTCATAGGAACAAGGAAGTGCACCCTCTTTGAATTATGTGGTTTTACATATGAAGACATAATAACAATCATATGTTCCTTAGCAGGCCTTAAAATTACCGTATTTTTCCATGTATAACACACC